ACCCCCGGGCTGCCGTGCTGTGCTAAGTTGCTGCAGGATGTTACACAGCTCAGCACCCACCGTGTTATGCAATGAGAGCCTACCCCCGGCAGGCAACTTAGGACTGTGTCAGACCGGCATGAAAACAAGCCTGGAAGCTAAAGGAGAGAAGATTAAAGCAAAGCAGCAGCATGTTTTTTAATTGTTCCTTAGAATTTCTAATCTAGTTAATGGCCCTTCCAGCCCATCTTGTGTAAAGAAACGAGCATGTGGCATGTACTGAAGGAGGATCAACACTGACACACCAACAGATGCGCTTATTGGCACAAGAGACTGGATTAGTTTTTGGACCACGTTTTTCACTCGCTTGCTAGCCAGCAGCAACTTGCTTTTTTGGAGGCAACAGGAGGGATCAAACAATCACTGCAGAGGGATATTAGTTCCCTGGCACTTAATCTTCTTCCATTACAGATTCTTTGCTCCAACAAGAGACAAGGCTGCCGTTCCTTCCCTCTGACTCACTGGCAATCCTTCATCCATCTCTGTTTTGCTGCTTTGGAGATTTTTTTGGCTGGAGTATGATCAGCTCAGGCTGCTCTATTATTCTCTGTCGCCATATTTCCAACACTTGTTTCTCCTTCATCACTGCTCCTCACAGTGGAAGCTTGAAAGTTATCACAGTACTCCAAAGTAAAATACATCCAGCACCCAACCTAATGCCGTGCTGTTCAGTGTACCTGCTTGAAGTGAGTGCCTCGTGTTGCACAGCCCCAGGCATGTGTGGTGCCCGGCTGACTGACGGGGGAGGCAGCTGGTGGTTGACAGCATATATAGAGCACCAACTCCATTCTTTCCCCTTGGGAGACCCAAGCACTGGTGACAGACAGAGCACTGCTGGTGGGAGGAAGACCAGAGAAACATAGTTTGACTGAATGCTGGGTGGCTGGAGGGGATGAGTTGCAGAACTCCTAGAAGTTTTGCTGGCCACTGGAGCTAATGTCTCAACAAACAGCATTTGAGGTGTTCCTGGCTGACAGAGTCCCAGACCCAACTGCCATCCCATGGTTTTGGCTGGCTCCCCAGGAGTGAGGACCCTCTATTGAAAAATGCAGGCATGAATGGCAGCAAAAGGCTCTGTTATCCTTTCTGCACCCAGAGCAGAGAGGCACCAGTCCTCCACCAGCCCTGCAGACCCAAACCCCAGTTCAGCAGGGCAACAGGGGTTGTGGAGAGCACACATCCAATTCATGACTGCCAATAATAATGATTCCCTATGAAGTTCAGTGATGTTTTCTTGTGCCAGCCGTAGCTAGCTATCTGCCCAGTAACCTGAAGGATTTGCAGCATGGCACAGGGAGCAGTAGGCTTCAGACTCCTCCTGGTGACTCACTGTGCTCACCTGGAGCTCCTCCTGCATTTGTACAAGGGGCAGCTATGCATCTTGAGGTTGCACAGTGATGTGGACTGGAAAGCCCCCCAAAAGCCAATTCCTTCCTCACCAGGGATGCCGCTCTCTAGAAATATAATAATATACCCTCCCAGAGCTCCCCGCCAAACACAAGTCCATCGGGAGGAGAAGATACGCTGGACAGTAAAATACTGTAACTGTCTGTTAATGCCATTTGGGATGCTGTTGAAAGAATTTTGGAACAAGCATGAGACTTTTTGGATGCTCAAACACTGAATGAGTCAAAAAATCATCTGTGTCCTACAGAGAAACATTTTAGAAAACAAAGCAATTGGCTTTGAGCAACATGATGTAACCTTGGTTTTTCCTCCCCTTATTGTAAGTGCATCTCTGGGTGTTTGCTTTTAAAGCTGTATCCATTAATAATGTGCCTTTATATTTATTTAGAGATATGTAAAACAAGGAGCGCTTATCCGTAGCCCCAGGCAACCCAACAATTTTAATATATAAACAGCTGTATAAATGAACCTCATAATTGTCCAACAAAAGCTTCAGCAACAAAGAACCCCATCTGCGCGCCATCTCTTCTCAGGATGCTCAAAATTCAGCATCCACTTCAGCAGCCAAGGGGAATAAATAAGCTTTCCAACGGAACCAGCTCAGGTTATTGCAGATCAAGTGAAGGAACAAGGTGTTTGCCTTTTCTTAACTTAAAAAAGAAAAAAAAACCACACCCGCAAATGGAAAAACACGGGCCAGATTTTCAAGCAAGCTCGGCACATTGCCTGCTTAAATTACACTCACATGCAAGTGCATGCAAATGCGCCGTTCCCCTGGTCATCTGCCTGAACTGCATCCACATTTTCCTCAAATGCCTCCTTTGAGCACAACACGACACGCACAAGCAGCCTCCCCAGCCGCTCAGAAATCAGAGCATGGGTGCACTGTGGGAGCAGAGGAAACACCTGCATTCCTCTGCAGCAAAAACGCAGCTGAAATAATGATGAGTCTGACAAAAGCCTGACTGAGCACAAAGGGCAGGGTGCTGGGACTAGAGAGCTGAGGGGCTCTGCTAGCTCCTTTTTAGGGGGGGGATCATCACCCCCTTATGCCTTTGCCTGCATTATAGGTGGGGAAAAAAAGCCAGGTAAAAATAAGCAACCATTTTCAGCTTGTGCTGCAGTCCTCAGATGGGCACTAAGCACCACTGCTGGAGCCCACGCAGGGCTGCTGCACTTAGCTTCACTGTGTGTTGCAGAATGTTGGGAGATGCAACAAGGAGTGGCGTGACATCTTTCTTTCATGGACAGCAAACGTGCCCCTGTGCGGGGCCAGCCACTGCTTCAGGCTGAGCTCTGCTCTCCCTTCTGCTCTCCTCTGGCAGGACAGGGCTGGGGGAGCCCTCTTTTCCCAGGGAGATGCTGCTAGTGTCCTGGCCAAGCATCATGGCCCTGCATCCAGGAGAGTAGAGATCAGCAAGGAGGCCTTTCCTCCATCTGAGAGCTGTTTTCCTGTCTGGAGTTATAATAAAGCACCTCAAGAGAGAAGAGGTGGAGAATGCTTGTGAGCTTAGTCCAGACATCATGTTTTAATCTTCCTCCCTTCACCTACTCGATGCCAAAAGGAAAATATAATAAACTCAGAAGGGTCCTTCCTGGTGGAAAACCCCACTCCTCCCTTCTGTCCACCCTTCTGAGAGGAAAAGCCCCACGAAGATCTCCTTGCGTGAGGGGAGGAGGGCTGCTTTGCCCCTCCAGCTCTCCTGGCATTCAGAGAGGAGCAGAGGCCCATGCTCTCCACTCAGACAAGTCCCCACTCAGAACAGCATCGCAGCGCCTTGAACTCATCCCTGAGCACAACTCTTCGAGTCTGAACAGCTCTGCTGGCTCCTGCCTTGGGCAAGGTTTCAGTTTCCCTGTGGCTTGATGACGTGATTTGGGCAGGATTTATGAGACTTACAAAAAAGCACAATTAATTCTAATGGGCAATGGAGCAGATTTTTTTTTCCTTGCTCTCTTTTCATTGCTGGCTTCTAGGACCAAAGCAATGAGTTGGCAAAAGCCTGCCATGCTGGCTGAAGCCTGAATTTTTAGCCAAAAAGCTTTGCTCCAAGTCTAGTTAAATTAATTTCCTAACGTTTCTAAAATATTTTCTTTTCTGTAAGATAACTGAGGAACCATTAACATTGCAGTTGAATAGCATTCAAAATGCAGCATTCCGTGTCCTGTTGGCCAACCCCATCTCTTGCCAGATCTCCACAGCAGCTGCATCCCCGAGGAAGAAGCAAAGGCTATGCCCCAGGTGGTAAGGAGAGGTGATGGTGGGATAGAAATGTGCCCTCTAGCACAGTGGGAATGGGACACATGCAGGTACCTGCTCTGTGCTCAGGGAGTGGATGAACACAAACCCAAGGCAAAGGAGTACAACCTTTGCTTGAAACCATGTACCTGCAGAAGGCAAAACCTGGATCTCAGCTCTGCACATCTCCACGTCTGTTACCTCCACAATCACCAATAACTCACTGTTCTGGACCTGTTTTAGCTGTGCCATTTCAGGTAAGACAGGCTGCTGTTTGCTAGGTAAATCCAGCTGTCAGCAGGGATCACACTGCGCTCTGCCACACACGTGCACATTCCCCTCACGTGTGCCCACATGTATCCCATGGAAACTTTAACTCATTTTCTTACTCCTAAACAAAGACTGGACAGAAAGCACGTGGCTTGGTTTTACCTGCAGGGAAATGCTACCGCATCAGCAAAGTGTGTGTGACAGGGCTGATTTCCTCACAAAGGCATGCTTTGCCCATGCTCAGCAGGCAGTGTGAGGAGGGTGGCAGCCCACATGGGTTATTTGTTTCTTGCTACATTTCTGAAAAAGAGAGGGAGAAGAAAAACAAAACCAAACCAAACACACACATACACACACACAAAATACACACAAAAAAAGCTCTTCAGACTAGCACAAGAGGAAATGAAAAGGGAAACTTTGAGATTTCTCATCCCTGCAAAAAGCCCCGCAGCCGGTTGCAGCACTTTGTCATCACAACTGCTCAGCTTGCGGTCGGCAGCACCGCCATCCCGTCAGGCCTTGCACCGGCCCAATCATTATATCAATAAGGAAGTACAATCACTTAACCACAAAGCCAGCTTCTTTTCTAAGCCCTCGTGTTGCCTCAGAAGGCTTTCAAACAAGATGCTTTCCTGTTTTTGAAACCGGGCATCCGTATGGTTTGCAGGTTACTCAAACGACCTTATCACTTGAAGCAACCCTTGCATGTATTTCAAAACTGCTTACTACGGAGCTCCCTTCCCCTCTCCACACATATCTATTTACTCACAGGGATCCTTATTTACAGTATCTTCTTGCCAAGTGCTGACAGAGAAGAAAAAGCCCTTGGTTACACATTAAGCTTTATCACTAGGGTGTTTGTGCCAGACCGCGTCCAAGCACAGCTCGCTGACCGGCCTCACCTTTGGGCACACCATGGGAAGGTGCCCACTGCACCACATTTGCAGGGGCAGGGCTCCTCACCCTCACCTGGGCCCAACGGGCTGCTCAGAGAAAATGCAGATTTATTTTTAGACAGCATGGTGAGCTCCTTGCAACACCATTAAAGGACGAATCACCAGGAGAGAGCTGCTGCTGATTGCAGGGCACAGAGAGTGCTGCCTATAGGAAAAATCCTGACTAAAACTTACACAGCATGCAAGTGAAAACCAATTCATCTGCTAGAAAGGGGGAAATGAAAAGGACCATGATACAAGAACAAGCTGTGCAGAAGATCTGGAAAACCCAAAAATTAGCTTCAAGATGCCTGTTTTGCACAGCAGCTTCGGAAAGATCTGCCAAACGTAACTGTTTCATTTGACAGTCATCTTCTGGCTTAACTTCTGAGCTGGCTGGTGGCCATTACATATTGCACAATAAATGCCTGCAAAATTAATCATGAACTCCCTGCCTGGAACTCCCAGTGCTGTTCTCCTGAAGGGTACCTGCAGGTTTGTGGCTGCACTGCCAGCAGCTTCAGCCATGTTCAATAATGGCTCAGCCAGCAAGGACAAACCTTCATGAAAACAGCCCGTGAACTTTACTCTTCCCCTCCTGCTCCTGCAATCTGCTGGCTGGGATGCTCACCTTTGCCTACACATCATGACATCCATATGATTGCAGTGCGCACCAGTGCTTATCAGAACCTCACACTCTACAGCCTTTCTTGTCACAGTTAGCACTGAGGTAAGGAAAGTCAGATGTTCAAGGCCAAGGAAGGACCTAGAGTGCCCTCATGGTTAGATATGCTGACTTTTGCTCTAGCATGTGTACAAACATGAGTGGCACAATGTCCCCATGTTGCAGTACTGCGTGATTGCGGTGCTTTCCCCACACTGCTGGCAAGAGGGCCCCGGCTGCAGCAGCCTCAGACCTGCAGGAGCCTCCACATAGGAGCCTCCAGATCCAGGGTGCCAGCTCTCGCTGTGCTTCTAATTGAATTGCTCATTTGGAAAAAAAATGGTGAACTGCATTCCTGCTATTTTAATTAGTTCCTCTTATTTTGCACTCCTTGCCAAAGGACTAAATTGAATTGATCACACAAATACCCCAGTAAAATAACAAAGACACCAAGCAGGATTTTAAACATCTCCACAAGAGAAAAAAAATGCCTTTCCCTAACATCCCCCAAACCTATTTAATAGCAAAATGCAAAGGAATAAAACAAGGGTGATTAAAACCAGAGATAGCAAGCAGCACACATTTTATTGCTATGTTTTCTTACTTCTTTTTAACAAGGATAAAAATTAACTTTTGCAACCTCGGCCAGGAAGTGAGCGGATCTTTGAACTCTGCCATCTGGCTGGTGGGATGTGTGTATACACCGCCCCGGGTTACAGGTTAATCCTGCCAGTTCTGGTTATTTGTGGAGGCAGCCGGCCTCTCACAAGCTTTTTTAGTCGTTGTCACAGAGAAGATTGCAGCTGAGCAAAAGACAACGGTTCTGGCTAATCCAAAATTGTCCTCTTCGTTACAAGAGAAGATGTTGCAACACGCACTGGCGACCCAACCACATGCTGCGAGCAGTGCAGCCCAGCCTGCAGAGCTGCTGCTGCTGCTGGGAGCCAGGCTGGAGCATGCCCAGCAGCTGGGAGCCCCACGTGATGACATCTAACTCCATCTGGTGCTGCGCTCTGGCCCCCCTGGGCACTTTTCCATCCAGCCTTGCAAGCAGCTGGATCAATTTACTCTAGCCTACGGTGTGCTGCGCAGGCACAGACTGAAATTATTACTCATGGAAATCCCCTCTGCTTCAGCGCTTTGAACGAGGCATCAGGTAGCTTTCAAGCTCCTGACAATTAGTAGCCTTTGGTTGAGGGAGAGCAGCGTAAACATGCTGGAAGCTATGGGTTTCAAAACAGCTTGCTTAGCTTCTAGTAAATTAAAGGGAGTGGGCGGTTGAGGCACACAGTAATATTATCCAGCAGAATGTGGTCTTTATTGACGTCACCGGACATTTTTTTTCTCTCCTTGTCTCTGTCTGCCTGCAAGAGGCATGGGGAGGTTAGCTTGGTGACGGCAGTGTGGCTCACACCGCCTGGAGCTGCCGGCTTTTCATCAAGGCCGGGCGCAGATGCTGCCATACTGCAAATAGCAAGGAGAAAATATATGCAAGTCATTTCAGAGGAGGAAAAACTGCTGGAAACAGAAATCTTGCTGTACGTACTTCTCTTCATGTTGCATGATTAACTGCTGTGACTAAGACAACGCTCTTCCTGTGGCCAAGCACACATCCTCCTCTCAGATTTTGCTTGAAATAGCATATTTGACCATGACCCCTCCCCTGCAGCTACTGTGCTCATCCCAGAGTAGTGCTGTGGTGTCTGTGACTGTGTTTTCTCAGTGTCACAGATCTCATTATTTTCTCTGAGCCCCCACACTTTAGGCTGCATTCATTGTACGAAGGCTGCCAGCTCTGCACTGAAAGTATGCCAAGAAGTTCAGCAGAAAAAAGTTGTTACGCGTACAGCAAACTTTTGGAACCATGAATTGTACATGAGCATGTGCAGGGGTGTGCCTGCAATGTTTTCATGCACCACTATTTGTACACTGCATAAAAGCTGCCTGGACAGCAAGAAAGGGATGCACAACACTGGAAAAAAGTGCAAGTAAGAAACCAACCCACCCTAGGCCCAGAGATACCACACTGCCTACGACCACACTGCCACGCAACAGTGCAGAGCCTACATTTTCTGTGCAAAAAACTTTGAAACATAGAGCCTACTCAGGCCAGAAATTTTTCAGGTTCACAAAAGACAAAAGGGACTTTTTCACAACAAAAATGTGTACTAAAGCAGCTCTGCCAGATTCTGACTCAACACAGACGCATGCATACTTCTCAAAGTGGAAGATTTTTCCAGTAATCTAACGGACTGAATGAGCTCATCACGACCCACTGAGCAAGTTTTCTTAGTATTCCTTTCAAGCAAGGGAATAGCTTTGGTGTTTGCACTCATTTGACTTTTCCTCTCTTCCCAAAACTTTGTTCCTCTCATAAACCACCCTTTCCATCAGGCTTCTTGTGCTAAAAGAGCCATTTTTTCCCCTGTGGGGCCACAGGACCTAAGTAAACATCACAGGGCCATTAAGAACTAGCTGTGTTAGTGAAACAACAATGCAGGCACCTCTGCATTTCAGGACCTCCAGGACAAGTGAGGAAACAGAGATGTGTGGTCGTTCCCCACAACCCCACAGAGACGGACAGTAGGACACCATGCAGAAGGAAATGTGTGCAAGTGGAAGAACAAGTCCTGTGATAAATAAATTTGCTCTCTAACTTTGACACTTCTCCTTGTCCTTCCATTTCCTGGTCTACTGATTTCCTTGTGACCATCCATGCAGCTGGGTAGCACTCTACTTGCTCTTTTGAGGGGCTTTTTGTGCTGCTTTCTAAAACTATGAAACTGAAAATTGATGGTACACAAGTTGCTGCAAAGGTTGAGGCAAAGGTCTTGAACTAAGTCATGTCTGGGAGGGAAACTGCAGTTCCCATGGGGCCACTGCCATAGACCTGGCCTTGCTGCAAACAGGGCACTCCTTGTACTCGGAATTGCAGATTTCTGCAGATAAGCATTGCACAACATTAGTCTGCTCTGCAGAGAGGCTGCTGATGTCCCTTTGAGTGCCTTGTCTTTCAGGATTAGTTCTCACTCTTTATCAGTGCATTTTAGGAAAAAACAACACAAGAGATTAAGAGCTGCCCATAATTAGAACTCTGCAAGTGCCTGCAAGTTAATGGATGCTTTATCTCCAAGCTGCTGCTTCTGAGCTGTAGCCACCAACCTATGCTCCCTTCTTTCTACAAATGGAAAGTCCCTGTTGCTTTACAGTAGGAAAAAAAAAAGTTATCCTATGGACTTGTGGCATTGAGTGGCACAGTTTAGTGGGCGTGGTGGTGATGGGCTGGTGATTGGACTAGATGCTCTTAAGTGGTCTTTTCCAACCTTAAGATTCTATGATTCTATGACTTTGAAAGAGGAGCATTTGTGAATAGGTAACTGCTAAGCTTAAAAGAAAGCATTCTCCCATGGTCAGACCTGACAGTACAACCCAGGCTGCAGCCTATTTTTCCTCCGCTGTCTCACTGAGGCCAATGGGAGAAAACCCAGTGCCCTGTCTCATGGCATCAGTGCCCTGGCTGTGTGCCTTCAGAGCTCAGCTGCAGCCATAACAGTCCCAAGCATCATTTGCCCAATCCAGGAAGATGAGGTTGAAAGGAAATCCACAGGGGTTCTCCACTTCCCCTTTTCAGCCGTGTTTTGAAATATGGTCAAGTCCTGGTCATGCAGATCTGCAGAGCTATCTTCAGCCACCATGCCTTGTGAAAGCAGAGCTCAAGCTCAGGTTTTGTGTTCCAAGTAAGAATGAGAAAAACGTCCTGGCTTCTTCTGTTGAGCCGAGGATGCCAGTGCACAGTGGTTTCATGACACAGGACCTGATGGCAGCTGCCAACTCATTCTGTGCTGGCCACCAAACGGCCACTGATTACCATAAGTCTGAGCTCCCACCTTGCAGAGTTGGGAATAAGACCATCATGTGTAGCAGTGCTTGTCACGCCCAGATAAACATAAGTGGAAATGTTAAATGTTCCACAAGCCCGGCCCCTGGAAAGCATCCTTTGGGACTGCTTCTGACAAACGCCAGTGAGGAGCACACAGCTATGGAGGCCTGCATATCTCAGTCTGTAACCAGACTCTTCTTTACAGAAATGCCTTGGATTCTTACGGTCCTTGCTCTTCTTCTTTGCAGAGCTTTCCAAGATGGTATTTCTGTGCCCAAATAAAGGTCAGGGTTCCTGCTCTGATAAATCAGGACTGGCTAGGGGCAGATTCAGCTGACAGTGTCATCTGATCCGTGCAGCTGTGCATAAACCCTGAACCAGTTCCCTTCTTATGTCCCTTTTGGGCCAGGCATGAAGCTTAGGGACATCTGTTAGTTCCTGAATTACAGCGCGCGTGCAGTAACAGTTATGCCCATGCTTGGAGAGCTCATGTTTGTTATTTTCCAGACTTTGCATCATCTGATCATCTGAAAGCTGGACTGCAGCTTCCGGTCACTGCATCTACCATACGCAGCTGCCGAAGTGAATGGAGGCACTGTGAGCATATGGCTGCCTGACCCAAAAAATAAAAATAAAAGAAAGACATTTGCATTTCCTCTTTTCTTGTCTTGCTAAATCCTTCCCTTCAAGAAATTATGCAAAGCTCTGCTAAAGCAGTGTTATAACCTGCCACGAGTGCAGCAGACACAGCTGCTGGGGAGGTCTCAGAGCCATCCCACATACTTGGGCACCTTCACACCATCCACGTTGCCTTGAAAACTCCACAGTGGTCCACAGGACAGAATGAAGCTTTGCTCCGTCAGCCCAACACACAGCTTGCTTACCCAGAGGAATGCAGGGCCAGCAGTGCTTTGGTGCTTCCTATGCTCCGCAGAAGCCTTCTAGGCCCTGCCACAGCCTCAGGAGTCCTACCAGTTCTGCAGGACAGCAGTCTCAGCCCATTGCCCACTGCATCCTCCCACCCCATGCCCCTCGCACATCCCTGTGGGAACCCACTCATCAGCACTGAATCATCACTAGCCATGGCTGCCCACCCCAGCAGGAAGCTGCATGGCCCAGGCCTTGTGCTGCTGTGTTCAGCCACCCTGATGTCACTGCCAGCTGAGTCAAGCCCCACTACAGTCCTCCCAAACCCCCCCACAATCGCTGGCAAGCTGCACTGCTTTGGCCAGAGAAATCTGCCCCAATGTTTCAGCTCTCTCCACTGCAGCACATTCCTCATAAGCTACGTGGATCTACTTAAAAGAACCGGTGAAAAGTCCCAGAAACTCAGAAATTATAAAGACACAGTTAAAAACAAAACAAAATCCTTAGAGCATGTCAGTACCTCTCTCAGCCATACATAAATTGCATCCATATTTCACAAGTTTTGAAGAGCAGGATTATAAGCCTTGTAAATCAGCAGATCTGGCCCTGAATGCATCTAAAACTCATGATCAAATGCTTCTGAGTATATAAGATCCAGGCAACATCGTTCTCCAAAGGGCTCCTTCATTTAAGTCAGTGAAAAGTTTCTACTGAAACTTCTACTGCAGAACAACAGAGGCCTTGGAAAACTGTGCAAGGAAAGACAACAAAAAATGGAGACACAGACTCCTCAGGACAAGCAAGAATGAGAACAGCCTCCATTTTCTATAGTTGGTGCTTAAGATAACCCTCATCTGATCCACAGATGAAAACTCCACAGCCCATGATGTACCCAGCCCAGAAGAAACACCTGTGCCTTGGGATCATGCCCTGTGCCTGTCTGCCAGCACTCAGCCCTGAGGCACTTGCAGCACTGTGGTCAGAGACCACAGGCCCAGTGTTGGCATGAGTCTGACACTCAGCTCTGGGGCTGAGGGCCTAATATGCATACAGCACATAGTTAGGGGTTTTCTTTGGGCTAACTGCAGTATGGCTCTGCAGGCAGCCAGTGTGATCCTGTAGAGCACCTTCCATTTTGGTCTCTTGCACAGTGCATCCAGCCCATGCACTCTGAGACCACCCCATGAGGTGACCCAGAGCAGAGTATGTGGGAACAACAAGAAGGTTTGCTCTGGAGAGCATCCTCCAGCTGAAGCAAGCTGGTAACAGAAGCACATCCAGCTTATCCATCTGTCCTGGGCACGCAAATGGAAGAGAAGAAGGGGCAAGTACAGGACAGAGCCACAGCACAACTGTTCACCATAACTAGTGTAAGGAGCCCAAACAGCTCCAGGCATTCTGATGTCCTGCAGAATAAGTGCCCACTGCTCTCCTCAGTGCACTTCCCTCCACCATACAGGGCAGGAGGCACAAGAGCACAGAGGTCAGGGTCCAACCTCGTCTCTCAGTCAGCCCATCCTCTGTGAGGAGACAGCAACTGTGTGGACTGACATGCAGCCCAGGCAGCTCCAGGCAAGAGCTGCTGCTAAAAGGATAGGAAACCTTGTCATCGTAAAAGCAAGAGGCGATAGTTCATGCTACAGCAAGGGGCTCGTGACATTATAACAGAATGGAAAGCATAGCAATAGCAGCATAGTAATGAAGTCCTAACCTGCAGCAAGTGAGCATATGCTCAAATGTAGCAGCTGTAGACACAGTAACAGAGGAAAGAATCTTCTTACCCTTTGAAGGCTTCAGGAACGCAGAGACCCCCAGCAAAATACTCTTTCCTCCCTTGCCAACCTTTAAATGAGGTCTGGGAAGAAGTGGATCCTGGCTCCTCCTGGTTACTCAGATGTATTGCACGCACCTGAGCTCCCCTGGGTTGGCCCTGCCTTCCCACCAGGTGCTCGATTACTGATTCAGGCTGTGACTTAGCATTTCTGTTACAGGGCTCCAGAGTGGTTTCACCACCAGCATGTGAAGTACGGCCATATCTCTAATAGCAGGTATGACATAGCTTGGGCATCCCTCTCCAGGAACAGCACCCAACCCACTGCTGTGAGATAACATCTGTGGGGTTGAGATGCCTGTGGGTAAGAGAGCACAAGGGTTAGTTTTAAGGAGCCAGCAGTACCTGGTCTGAAGCCTTACTGCAGGCACAGGAGCAGATACCCTGTGGTTAGACAACTGTCATAAGAATCATTGTCAAGTAAGGCTCAGATGAAAACAGAAGTGTCAATTTACAAAATCCAAACCAAGCAGCAGTTGCAGAAATTTATGGGACTTGTCCATAAAGAAACAGCAAAGATCCCAGCACCTCCACCAATCTGGCACATTCAGCCTGTAGCTGACCCGTGCACCAAAATCTGATGCTCCAACTTATGCAGTTCTCCAGCTGTGGGCCCATTCATGTTTCCTAAGCTGGGAGGGAGGAAGGATTTGGGATGACATGCTCACACTTTCTCTTCTAACCTAACACAGTCTTTGGGGCTTCTCTGTATTCCTGGCTCCTTTCCTCTTTCCATCTGGTGCTGTCCTGGGACAGCCCACACCGCCAGATACAGAAGGTTTCTCTTTTCCATTGCGCTGCTGTCTGTCTTCTTAAGCCTGTGTGTGGTCAGTGCCCTCAGCAATGCTTCAACAGGGCAGCTGCAGTGAGAAATGTGTTGAGCTGAAGCAGGAGAGGAAACAGTGGTCAGGCAAGGGGAATAAATATTTAAGAAAATGCAGCAAAGCTATGGAATGAGGATAAAAGGGATTAATGCTTGTTTTCAGAGATGTGCAAAACTTAACTAGCCATGTCTTTGGCTTTATGGGGAAGAACAAAGACAGGAAGATAAAGGCCAACATTTGTAGCAGGGAAGGTGGTGCAAAACCAGGAAAGTGCCAAGCAGGAATGTTTAGAGTGCCACGAAAACAGCAGGGCCATGCCGAGCAGCCAGATGCCCAAGGAGTGTTATTTTTGGACAGCACAACTGACTTGGAGGGAAGTGTGACATTTACTGAGTCACCTCCACCACTTCCTGCAACACCTGGAGCTGACTCTAAAAGCTCTCATTTAGATACTGAGAACTCACTCACTGCTCAGGCTCAAAATAACACAGTTTACTTTCATTTTTTTTTTCTGCAAAGCTCTGCTGAAACCACGACGAGTGATGCAACAGCCTCCGGTGCAGATCCCACCGCTGTGTGCCGTTCACAATGAAAAAGTGATTTAACAGTCATCAGTCATCTGTGGCTTCTCCAGGAGGTAATCAGTGACATCTTACTGTGTCCTCCCTGGATCCAGCAACCAACTGTAAGAATTTTTTATTTCAAAGCAGCCTGAACTGTACTGCATCCTGAGCCTGGATTGAGCTTTTCTCTATTTCCTCTAACTGCAGTGAGCTGCAGCCTCCTCCACTCCAAGCACATGCAGCACTGCTGCAGCATGAGCTGAAGCCATTTTGAACGACAGCTCTGAACCTCTCCACCTCCATGAAAAGTTGCTCGGTTCTCCAGAGTCCTGCCTGCCCCTGCCAGAGCCTTCCAAATGTGAGCAACATTTTCAAAGAGATTAAAAGAAAAGGCGATTTGAGTTATATATATATGGTTTCAGATTTAATATATTCTTACAGATTTTCTTACCCATATTCTTATACATCCGAAATTATACATCCATCTTATATATCCATAATAAATAGGGCCCTGGGCAACCTGATCTAATGCTTGCACCAGCGGTTGGCAACCCTGCCCGTGACAAAGGATAGAGATTGGATGATCTTTGGAGTCCCTTCCAACCCAAGCCATTCCATGATTCTATGATTTCTTCTGCTTTTGAATATTTCCCTTGCTAGAGCTGTAAAACTCCAATGAATTCAGAGTGTATGAAACCTCTGAGGCTTTAATCCTCCCACTCCTGTTTTGCTGTTTAGTCCATTAATGCGAAAAGGACAGATTGTGTCCTTTTCACATTAATACCACCTTGGTATCATAGAAATTGCACAACATTTCACATCCAATCCAGAAACATTTTCAGTGCTTCTGTCAAAAGCCAAAGCTGAATAACAACCATTTTGGCCTTACAAAGGTGTAATCTTTCATTAAGAGCAGTTCTGGTCACAGAGGATTTGCCACTTAAGCCCAAGTGCCTTCATTGTCAGGGCAGCTATTGAAACAACTGCTTGGACAGGATATGACATGAATGTTTAGTCTGTGTGGAAAAAGAAGAAAAAAAAACCAACATTGAATCCAAGCTTCCGGAAAACAGCCAAGAGCTTTTTTTACTGTGTAGAAATGTCAAAGGTGAGGAAAGACCAGGCTTCCTCTAAGCAGAATGTCTCCTCATGCACCACCCACCTGTGGAAGCAATGTGTGCAGGACTCTGGCTGCAGAGCCAGGTGAGCATCCTGCTAGTTTTCCTGCACTACCAGTGATGGATCTCACATGCCTTTTACAAGTTCCCCTCTCCCTGACCTTGTCTGCCCTGGGTCCAGGATCCTGCCCATGGGGAGCTGCTTGGATGCTGAATGAAGGGTATTTTTTCATTCTCTGTTTTTGCACTAGAGGGCCTGAGATCCACCTCCATTAAGCCAAGGTGTGAGAAGTTGGCCAGCCAACTGAGACAAGTGTTCCAGTGGAAACTGGACAACAGGAATCCTTCCTCAGAAATGAGTGTTTAGGTTCTAGGGATGTAAAATTTTACAGATGTTAAGTGAGGCTTGGCCATGGAAATGTGGAGAAAGGACAAAAACTACTGCTTTTGTATGAAATATGCAATTATCTCATGGGCAATTCCACTTGAGAGTCAAGCAGGAATAAAGGCCCGGGACTGACGAGAGCTGCAGAACCATGCTGCTCAGCCCATGCATTCAGATCACAACCCCCACAGAGGAGTGCTGAGGAGTGGCTCTGCAGCACTCATTGCAGTGCAATGAGAGATGAGTACACACAGAGCAAACCCACTGGTGTGGAGACTTCATAAATGCTCCAGCTGCTGTGGAGCTCTCTGCAGAATCTAAATTTGACGGGAGACTTCAGTTGTTTTAAATCTCCTGTTTGTTTCTTTCATCTGGGATATTGACTAAAAGGTGCAGAGAAATGTAGCACGGACAGTAATGGTCTATTTTAAAAAGAATCAGTGCTGTGTGGAATCTCCGGGTATTTGGAGGTTTCAGACAGGTACACCACTGGACATCCAGTGCTGAAAAATGAGGTGGGCAGAAGACAACAAAATTATCTTCTTTCCAACTGGACTTACTTTACAGTCTGTCAGTCTGCCACCCTAAATGAGAGAGAAAAAAAAAACCATTTGTGATGTAGACCTGAGTTGAGATTTTCTGATCAACACTTTTTTTTACTCTTGCTGCTGGTAAGCCTGGGAATTTTGTTCAGTCAGCCCTTGAAATCCCAGTTCGAGTTGTGAGGCTCAACAAGGTGAGAACGGTGATGTATACTTGTGCTTTCTTTATTGTGGGCTTTGCTGGAAGAAGAGGCAAGCTGAACTTACACTGAGAGGTGAGGTTGATCACTGGGGAGATGCAGAGGCAAGAAAGAAGAGAGTCTCTCAAGGAGCCTGCAGTGGGGCTACCGGGGCAAGGCTGGGTGCTCCATATGAAAGTCTCTCATGCTGGTAGGGAGCAGGATCCTGTGCACCACGGTATTCTTCACAGAACTGCAAGAAATGATAATTTATAGTGAATCCTTCCTGATTAAAGAGCATAAAGCTCTGCAGTTAATCAAGCTGATTAAACGAATCAAACTTGTTAAGAATGGTTTTATCAAAACATTTACATTTCTGTAGAGCAGAGATTCATGTGTCTTTGCATTGCAAAGTACACAGGTTGCCATGAGAGGACTACGAAGAGGACAGGAAACATTAACCATGTGAAACACCAAGCCTCCTCAGCATTCATTTAAACAAAGGAACTCCCTAGGCCATTAATTTTGTTACCCTGCAGGGTATCCTTTACCTTCTGGAAACAGAGACCTCACTGTCCACAGAGAGGGGCCTTCCTGACATGTGGGTACTTCATCTCCAGGCCAAAGTGTTGGAGAGGGTCCTGGGAGAGGAGAACCCTTTCCTGGCCCATGATGTCCCTCCATGGCATGCATCCAGGTGGAGCAGTGGCCTCTCCCCTTAAGTCTGAGACTGTCTATAGAAAAAATAACAAGACAAACATTTTCATAGCTTCAGTCCCAGCAGAGATAGGTCCAGTTAAGTTCTTGGTTGCCTAACTTCTAAATTTAGCCACTCAAACCTCAACTGTAACTCTAGAGACATATACTGCTGTGGAGCACCAAAACTACAGTTCCTCTGACACGTTACATCCTTCAGAGCAGGAGTGGTGAGCTCCCATGTACCCACACTGCTCCAGGGTGCACCACCAATGCATCTCTCATAAGCTACCTCTGATGGGGCTGAGCTGGCCATGCTGTGCACAGACAGACCAAGCCGTGAGGGCTGGCCACAGGCTGAGCAAGCATCCAGAGGTTTCTGATGGAGAGAGAAAGGCACCTCTCACACCTATTTTACAAACAGGTGAATAAACCTGTGGAGGTAGGTGGCTGCCTCCTGACTGGAGAGTAAGTCATAGCAAAGGGACTTGGGCTGAACACCTCACTTCTAGGCAGCAACAATACAGTGGTGCCCCCATATTCCCAGTGACACAGACACTGGTGGGCAACAAGCTGAATCCAGGAGCTACAGCCACAGCAATGTCCTGCACACTGAGGACTTGAACAGAGAGACCGCAGGAGCCAGACTAAAGCAGCAGTGGGAAAGTGCTTTCTTTTTCTCCCTAAGAGCATGTTCCAAGGGAATATCTGCAGATTCAGCATCTTA